ATCCATGACAGCTTAGCACTTACCCTCAATGAAATCAGGACTCTAGCTCAGTCAGGAGACGCAGAAGGCGAATGCGTGAAGGTAGGTCATAAAGTGTTTGATGGAACAAGTTCCTTTAGGTCCAGTCATCTGGTAGGTGGACTTGTATTTAAACAGACGTGACAGATGTTTTGATAGCATAGACAGGATATTACTGGGTTGTATCTATACCCACTGCCAAAATCGTTGTAAATACGATTTTCTAATAAAAGGAAGCCGGGATGCTTGGACAAAAGTCATTCTAAGGCTTGGACAAGAAAAGGAGAACGTGAGGATCAAACACATGTAGAAAGTATTTTACAAATTATAATGGGGGCATGTAACAACAAGCAAAAAACTCCTCAGAAACATATTTATTATTTAACCTCTTTTTGAGATTTCATCTGCGACTTTGTAGTACATTGGTAGCTTCCATGTTGCGGTTTTTCTGGAAGTTGTACTACTGCTATTTCTCATGACTTCAGGGTGAGACGTGATGGACACATTTCTGTGGAGCTTTGAGACAAAGATAAATAGGAAGAGGAAATAGGTGGTCCACTTCTAAGGAATTAAGTCAAAGAAACACGTATGAATAGCAATGGAACATTAGCTAATTTAGTGCTGGAAGATGAGCTACTCAGGTTGTAAGGCACTCAAAAGAAGACTGAGGACAAGTTCATGAAATTGTAGCAATTATGCTTTTCCCCTCTTCTTTCCCCCTCTAGTTGAATTCTGATCATCCAGCCATTGAAGCTAGGTCAAATGTGTACTTTCTTTAAGTAAGGGCATTCTTGTGCATCTCCCCTCACTTCAAACCAGCTGGACACTTCACTCTCTGTTCTAACCCTCTGTGGCTATGTCCCTGTCCATGGGCTAAGTAGTCCCCAGGTCTTACCATACTATTGGCCAACCAGGTCTCACTTCGGATTGACAGGAGTCTATTGAACGTGGTTGAACTCTGCCCACATCTTCATTGTTGCTTTTTTCCCCACTTCCCCTCATCAGTAGACCAACCTAGTTGCCAGCAAGATTATAAGCCTGCTCTTATATTCCCTTTGAGTTTCAGTCTTGGAAGGGTTTTGCCCTGAAGGTACTTGATTGCTTGCCTTGATGGTTCCTCTGCAGATAACTTGCTTGTTCTTGTGGTAGTCAATCAGACTCTCATTTTTGTTTTTTATTTTTCCAGTAGGTATTTCTTTCAATAAGTGTCTTTTGTTCCTCAGCTCCAGGCTGGTCTACTTGCGTTTTCAAGTGGAAATTTCCCACCTGAGAATGTTCTAGATGGGGGTCAGGATTCCACCTAAGGTCTTATACACTACCAAGACTCTGTAGGAAGCCTCTTTCACTGAGCAAGTTCTAATACCCCTCTTAGGTATTCCAATCAGTTATATATAGGCTGAAGATGGACTTAAAACTTCCTATAATCTTGTTTCTGGCTATTCCTTTCTTTCCCCCTCAAGTGTCTATTTTACAATAACCGGCAAGGGAAATCAAGATTCATAAGGCATCCAAGCATCTTAACATTATTTCCCCTCTTTTACCCATTCAGACTATGCCTCAATCCCTGTATCACACAGCCCTGTAGTTCCAAGGTTGAGCATACATCACTATTTACCTCTGTCCCATTTAGCCCACACAAACCTGCCTAAATATTCTTTCTTCCTTGTTCTTCCATTCCCCTCCACCTTCTTGTGTATTGCCCTCCCCCAACACTAGAGGAAAGAAAAGAGAAAAAAATAAAAGGGGGGAAAATTCCCTCCCTCCCAATTAAAGTGTAATTCACTACAATTTCATGAACTTGACCTATACTTACGGATATAGTAGCTTAAAACACCAACTAAGAGGGGAGGAATCTTCACAGCAAGCATCATTCCCATCCCTTCTGTGCACGGGGTTGATAGGGATGGGCAACATAGACTTTGGCTACCTAAAATGGGGTGGGCTATAAAGGCATGAAGTGACTGGCTTACAAGTTTTCAAGAGAGAGTTAATTTCGGTGGGGGTGGGGGAGATAGAATCCCCACTGAGTGATTTTCAACCTGTTTGGATGAGGCTGGTGAAAGGAGATGAAGATAAGATTCTTGTGGTTCAATAGTGAGTTAATTGTTATCATGACTAATTGTGATCATCACAACTGTAAAGGTAGAAGTTTTGTAGCAAAAGAGGGCAATGGTTGATCATGAAGTCCAGGAGCGCAGGACTGAAGGACCATAAAGGAAAAAGCAGGAGTGGAGTGTGGGACCCTACCCAGAGAAGCAGGGACTCCAGAGATGGAGGCAGAGATGACGTGGAGAGACAGAGCAGCTGAGGACTCTACACTCATGTTAGGAGAGGAGCTGTGTGTCGGCAGCTGGGGGGCAGGCTTGCAGGGTATGTATGCCCTTTGGGTGTTTGAACGATTGCATATTCCTGAGTGTTTTGGTGTACATAACAAAAAAATGGAATGGCAGCAAATACTGTTGAATTATGATACATGGAGGGGATTATCATTACAATGAAACAAAATATGATAGGATGAGTGTAAAGCCGATGTTCTCCCACGTAAACATCAATCAGTTCACAATAAAAACTTTTAAAGCTGTTTCCTCAAAGTAGAGTCGACCTTAATGATGTGGATGGAGCAAGTAGAACCTTCCATTGCTGATGGCAGATAATGCAAACTAGAACATCTACAAACATGCGGGAGTGCAGCTCTCGCAGGGTCCTGAGACTCGAGAGGAGATGAGGAATCAGCGAAAGTGAAAGTAGTTGGAGTCTCCACTTAGTTGGCTGATGGAGCTCTCTATGCCCCGGCTCAGCAAGTCTTTATTTATATTTAAAATTACACAATGCATAATGATTTGATACCTTGATTTTCCCCCTAAATTATTGAACATTTTTAATCATAACGTTCTTTCACCTTGTGATTATAAAACCTTACCAAAAGTATTTCTGTGATGTCCCATCTGACCTTTCCATATCCTGTTCATTTTCTGATCATTAAGTATTTTTTTTCTGACATCATCTCCTTTTCTACGTAAGTGATAAATTGTTTTTTCCCATTCCCACTAAAAGATCTTGTTAAATCTTACACAAATCATTTCCACTTCCCAGACCCATGATTACATCTTACTAATATGTTTCTATTAATCATCAATGCCTACACTACTTTATTGTTTCTACTAGTTAATTATGAATCTTCTATCGTACATAAGGCACTACTATTTTTTATAGTAAAAGCATTACTAACATCTACTTAATTATTTTGTTTTTCTGAAGTATTCATTAAATTGCTTAACCACAGTCTTCCTATGTTTCTTTCTTTTGGGGCCGTGAGGCATGTTAAAAGGCCCAACCTGGCTAATTGCTGCAGGAAAGGTAGATTATTATTAAGTTTTGACCATCTTTCATTTATGTTCACCATTCTCTGCCCAGTTACATAGGTGCCTGTATGTAGTAGAGGGGGGTTGTGAATTTTGGCTGGTAATTGATTTAGGTGAGGTCTATAGGGGTCAGTCAGCTTCACTTTAGTTTGTTATCTGCTTTTGTGATCTCAAAATTGCAGCTGCTTTCTACCTAGGTTTTCTGTGACAGGGAGTAGCTCATACAATTCCCTTTGAATCTAACCCAATGAAGCTGAAACCATGTTTGCCAGAGCGCTTTCTTCCTAAGCTCTGCAGAGTTCATATAAAAGCTGTGAATATGGCAATACAATATATTTTACAAGTAATATCAGAATCATCCCAAAAGGAGAGAGAATGAATGCCCCTACAGAGAATCATCTGCTCTGAATGATGTCTCCTTTTGCCGGGACTGTGTCAAACAAACAGAAGAAGCTGAACGGCTCTCAGCAAAGGACCAATAAATAACATCATGATTAATGGAGAAAAGATTGATGTTGTCAAAGATTTCATTGTTCTTGGATCAACCATCAACACTCTCAGAAGCAGCAGTCAGTAAATCAAATGGCACAATTATGGCTGCAGTAACTCAAAAGAGGGAACAAATCTTTACAGCAAGGATCATTCCCACCCTCTCCATACACAGAGTAGGCAGGGATGGGCAACTTGGACGATGGCTACCCAAAATGGGGGGCTACAAAGGCAAGAAGTGACTGGCTTACAAGCTTTGAAGAGGTAACCTAGATCCAGAGGTGCCGAGGACCAGCCTCGACACGAATGTTTGGTTCACGAGGTGGGGATATCTGGCGGCGATAGGGACAGCAAAAGAGGAGACAAAGAGACACAACGAGAGAGACAAAGAGACACCCCGAAACCAGGGTGGATGCATTACTGGCGTCCGGCAGATCAGGCATGAACATCTGAGCTATGAAGGCGGTAAGATCCCGCATAGTAAACATCTTAGCTATGCGGGCAGTACGCACCCCTTACTAGCTGGTCAGCAACGCATGCCTAGTCATCCGTATAGCACGCCCTCCAAGCTGTAATGCATACTCTTACCGCATGCCCGTAATGCACACCTGGTTTGGCCTGCACCTCCGTTTTATTTAGGGGAGGAGCTTCACACCAAGCTGGGAGGGACTAAGACAAGGTACAGCTAACATATGTAATTTTCCAGACATTCAGGCACCTTCACATAGTACTCCACAGGTTCGACTCTCACGACCACAACTTGGTTTCTCAGGCTCAATTAACATATCTATAGCACCTGAGCTCAGTTGGGGGAAGGTGAGAGGGAAGGTCAAAAGGCTTGGGAGGAGTCCCTCTGTGTTGGCTTCCTAAGCCAGGTTTTCAGGAACCTGGCTGAATGGCCTGCACCTGGAAACACTTTAGGGAGGGCAGTCCTATTGTCCTTAGAACAAAGAACCAGGAAGTAGCCAACTGTTTTTAGTTAATCCTTTGGAGAAAACTTTTACCTCTGAAGCGTTTACAGTCTCAGCTTTAGGAGATTTTTACATTTATCTGTGGATATCTGGGCTTCATGTATGAAATTAATAATAAATATAACTGAACACTCAGATGAAAAACAGTTTCCTATGACTTCTAGGTGGCTATAGTTGGTTCCTCAGAGCCCGCGGCCTGTGTGGTCTGCAACACAGAGGGCATGAAGTAAGGTAGAATCTCCACTGAGAAATATCCAATCTGTCCAGGTGGGGCTGATGAAATGAATTGTGGCTAGGTCTCCTGTGAAACAATAGTGAATAATTGTTATCAGGACTGATTCTGAGGGTTGGAAATGTAAAGGTAGACGTTTTGTAGTAAGGAGGGGAGCGATTAACTTTTCAGTCTAGGAGCAGAGGTCCCTAGGACCATCCAGGGAGAAGAGCAGACAGCGGAACCCTACCCAGAGAAGCAGTGAAGCCTGTGATGGAGGCAGAGTAGATGATGTGGAGAGATGGAGCAGTGAGGCACTTGAGACACAGAGAAGGAGAGGGGCTATGTGCTGATGACCTGACTGGGGTTGGGGGGTGTGGCGGGGCAGGCTTTAGTGTATACCCTTTGGTTGGTTAATGATGCATGGAGGGGACTGTAATCATGAAAATGAAACCATAACGATCGGATGAATGTAAAAGTAATGTTCTCCCTTGTAAACTATCACATAATTCACAATAAAACATTTTTAAAAAAGAAATTAAATGACATATTGCATTAAGCAAATCTGCTGCACGAGACCTTTTTAAAGTGTTGAGGAGCAAAGATGTCAGGTTGAGGACTAAGGTGCTCTTGACCCAACCTATGGTATTTTCAACAGCCTCATTTGCACTCCCCTCATTGCTATAAAACGTCTACCTTTACATTTCCAACCCTCACAATCAGTCCTGATAACAATTATTCACTATTGTATTACAAGGGACCTATCCACAATTCACCAGCCCCACCTGGACAGACTGTATATTACTCAGTGGAGATTCTACCTTACTCCAAACCCTCTGGATCTAGGTTTGCTCTTGAAAGCTTGTAAGCCTGTCATTTCTTGCCTTTGTAGGCACCCCCCCTACCCCCAATTCTGGTTAGCCATTATCCAAGATGCCCATCCCTGTCCTCTCCATGTGTGGAGGGGGTGGGAATGATCCTTGTTGTAAGGATTTGTTTCCTCTTCTGAGCTACTGCATCCATAGGTGTAGGTCAAGTTCATCAAATTGTATCAGATTGGATACTACTCAGTGGAGATTCTACCTTCCTCTATGCACCCTGGCTCTAGGATCCCTCTTGAAAGCTTGTAAGCCAGTCACTTCTTGCCTTTGTAGGCCCCCATCCCCCATTTTGGGTAGCCAATGTCCAAGTTGCCAATCCCTGTCTACTGTTGTGTGTGGAGGGGTTGAGAATGGTTCTTGCTGTAAGGATTTGTGTCCTCTTTTGAGCTACTGCTTCCATAGGTGTAGGTCAGGTTCATCAAATTGTATCAGATCACTTTTTTTTCCTATTCTTTCTTCTTCTGCTTGAGCTGTGATCATTCAGTCATTGAAGCCAGGTCAAGTGGGTATTATCTGCAAGTGTGGGTATCTTGTGCATATGCCCTTTTTTCTTATCAGCTGGACTCTAGTCCTCAGTGGCTATGTCACTGACTCTTTGCCCAAATATCCCTAGGTCTTGCCACACTGCTGGCCAGCCAGGTCTCCACCCGGATTCACAGAAGTCTATTGAACATTGTAGGGCTTAGCTCGCCGCTTCATTGCGGTTTTTACCTAACTTCCCCTTATCAGTGCTGAGCATAGTCACCAATCAGAGCGTGTATTCCCATTGAGTTTTAGTCTTGGAAGGGGGTTTGCACTGAGGGGACCCGACTACTTGCTGTGATGTCTCTTGGGCAAGCAACTTGCTTGTTTTTGTAGTAACAGTCGGTCTGCCTATATTGTTTTATATTTTTCCTGTAGGTCTTTCTTTCAAGAAATACCTTCTGTTCTTTTAGCCGCTCCAGGCTGGTCTGCTCGTCCGTTCAAGTGGAAATTTCCCATCTCTGGAGATCTGGATGTGGTTCAGGCTTCTACCTATAGT